AGAGGTGAATTTTTTATGGAAAAACGCCAGTCGAGGTCATTATCAATGGGTTAACGAACTTTTTAATTATTTAGAATGAGATAAGATAAAGGGTACCCAGAAAGCGATAATGGTTACTGAACACCTTTCGGTAACCTTACACCTCTGTTAAGCACATGTTAACAACTTTTACACGGTTGGCGTTTTTTTCTTCTTGGGATGCATACAGGGCGAATTTTGTGTTAGTGTTGTTGAAAGGTATCTATAAGATATCTTTCGTACGACCATCTGACACATTTATTAAAACAATTTGACTCTTTCCTGTATTTTTTGTAATGAATACATTTTTTTGCAGTTTGTTGAATATTTTGGTGCTCTAATCACATAAAAATTCATAATACGAAAAATCTGTACAATATTTCATATCGTAGATCGTAGAAAAATCTATTTTTAACCATATTAATATCATTATTATATTGTACTTGTATTTTCGCCATACCACTTAAATATTAACAGAGGTAATGAAGGGATATATTTGTTCATTTTATTTCATGAAATTGGAGGTTTTTTTCGTTATTTTTAATTTCGAATCACTTAGATTGAAACTATATTAGTCTAATAATCAGGTACTTACAGTACATTAATAGATGCAAGGGAGTGGCATTATTCGATTTTTGATGAAAAGTAGCCTACAAGGTTGGTCGTAGAGCGTACCTTTAATTATTCTCAATGCCCTTTTTTGCAACTCGAATACTCTTGTTGCCTGACTAGAATTTCCCCATAAAATGGTACCATAGCTTATATGCGAATGGAAGAGGAAATGGTATGTAGTCAATAGCACATCTTTGTTCACAATATTTTCCAGTTTACGCAGCAAAAATAGTTGGCTAGACAGTTTATTGCATAGATGGTTTACGTGGCTATTCCACTTTAATTCATCATCGAGAGTTATCCCCAGAAGTTTAGCAGTGGCTACATTCGAAATGTTTTTATTAGAGGAGAATATGATGTGCTGGGTCTTATCATTGTTCATTTTGAGTTTATTTTTCGTAAACCACAGTTCTGCTCTAGAGGCAGTAGTCGCCATAAGTTCATTGAGTACAAGTCCACTATAATGCGAATTTATTAATGAAGTGTCGTCAGCAAATGCAATACACATATCCGGAAACAAGTAATGAAATATATCATTGACGTAAATGGTGAACAACAATGGCCTAAGTACGGATCACTGTGGCACCCCATGAATTTTAATTTAATAAACGTATTGTTATATTATTTCAGCATTATATAGACAAGTGAATGAGTTTGTAGAATTATCAAAAACAGAAATACTTATTCAATTTAATGAAAGTTCGGAGGCCAAAAGTGAATAACAGAAAATACACTTCAATATTTCACAAACATTTCCACTCTAATAATATCATTAAAATTCTTCAACACACCGTTATAAACTTATAGTTACATTCAATGGTAAACCTCTAGAGCAGTGGATGTTTCATTGAATAATTTTCATATGTAATAAAACTTACTTAAAAAGCAAGTATCCACTAACAAATATACCATAACTACTAGACTAAAAAGAGTCTATTTTTCTCAATATTAAAACTTTTGCAGGTAACTTTCGATTAAAGAAATGTATTGGAAAAAAAGCAATCAATGGTTTACAATGTAGATTTTATTTTGATTTTTATGTAGGTTTATTCTTCAGATGTGACGTCACTGAAATTTCATCTATAACTCAGATAAACCAACAGGTAACGGCAAAAGGCAAAGGAATAGTTTTGAGCCATAATTAAAATGATTATTTCGGGATTAGATAGTCATTATATTCATGATGTAATGCGGCGTTATTTGCGCAGATAGTATCTCGAGTTTTAACTGGATTATAATTATTTTTAAAATACATTAGATTCAATAGGCACAGAGATATAAAAAGTTTCGACGGTGATTAAAATTAGATTTCTACGTTATTATTTGCAGAGTGCAAAAAAATTGTAACGAAAGCTTCTTGGCATTTTTTTTAAATAAAAGTTTCTCAAAGTATTTTGGTACAATTGACCCTACGAAACAAATCAGCCACCTTTTTTATACAGTGCGACCAGTGAAGTTCGCTTCATAGGAGATTTTTCATTAAAATATTCATTCGATATTTAATTTTGGCTTCAATCGCTGCTTCGACTGATAAAAAAATAATTCAAAATGATGTAGTCACGTGATTCGCATTATCTGTCAAATTTTTCACGAAAAAACAGTGGGTTTGATTATCAGAGTTTTTCTAAATAATTTTTTCCTTACATATTCAACATTTCAGTTGCATAAGATTTTTTTCCTTTTTATTGTAAACTGCACTGATGAAAGATTAGCTTCAGTGTAATTAATGATACATAAAACTTTTTTTGACAATATTTGACAATACCAGACACCTTTTCTTTGAAGTAACGCCTTATTCAATGTGCGTTTTTCTACAAAATGGAAATAAACTTTGATATATTGAAGTTACCTTATACAGGGTGAAAAATAAATATACTTCGCATCATCTTTGCCCAATTTTTGATAGCCCAATTTTGATTTAAAATAATACACACCTTAAATATGATGCTACTTCAAAAAACCCGTGCCTGAAATGGAGCATTGTCAAAACTCATGAGTCTAATGTAGATTGCGAGACTTATTCAGCAACAGATGTGTAATTTACAATAAAATGTGGAAAAAATTCAAAATTTTCCTATGTATACATGAAATTTTGCATATGGACTGAACATTCATCGCCATGGGTAGGCTGGTCCACGGTGGCATGTTTGGCAAAGGCTTTTGCTTTCAGTTCCCCTCACCTTACTTATTTCTGCCACTGACCAGGAGTCCGGCGACCCCATCCGTAAGGCCACATTGGCTTCCGGGACAGAGCCTCCAATCCCCTTGCCGTTCCCCTATCCGCCACCTGGGGACGCGCCCGATAGGTAGCCCAACCCACGGGCACTGCCACTGGGCACTTTAGACAACTTTCCATGTCGACACTTATTTTCGATATACTGCAAAAATCGGGAATTTTGTTTTATTTACTAGTTTTTTTCCAAATTATATACCTACTGAGTTTGTCAAAGAACTTCCAATTTTTAGGTGGAACTTGGTCCCTGCTTAGGCAATATTCCAAAAGGATTCATAAACATCCATTATAAACTTTACTGTAAAACAAAATTCACCTTTTTCTCAAAACTCGCTGGCGTTTTTCCAATTACTGATAAAATAAAAACATAATTTTTTTGTATTTGTTTGAATTTACTTAAGGAGTAATGATGTTGGGGCTCAGGACCCCAAAAAATCCATTGGATACATGTGATGATTGTATTCCATCGACACATTCAATAGATGGAATTTTTCTTCATCCCATATTTATACCCTAGTCACGATGGGAGATTGTTTCCTCATAAAACCTCCCAAATTCCTTGTGATACTCTCCATAAGTAACCATCAGAAGATACAGAGAAATACTAACAAGTTCTAGAATTATCTTTTTCTTTGAAATTCAAGACGTCTGCCATATTCAATTCAGTTTTAGGCAGTTCAGCTTCGAATTCCTTATCCCACAGATCCAATGAAGGGGTGAATCATCGAGTCCGTGATTACTTAGAAGAAGACAGAAGTGCCGAACGTATTATCAACAGTTACAGCATTAGATCAGTGATACATTCTTCAGTCATTTCTCTTGGGTTTGATGGGTTGAAAAATATTGGAAACCCCTGTTTTATGATCAGTGTAATCCAATGTTTATCAAACACGAGATGGTTGCTGGCATATTCAAAAAACATTACATATTTGGAAGATATCAATACTAGTATTTCTAGTGTGGAAGGTGATTTAATCAAAGCGTTCGCAGAAGTTATCAAGGAATTGTGGTCAGAAGTTTCATCTGATAGAGTAATAAACACTGCGTACTTTAAAAGTCAGATTCAAAGATTTACCCCTCGATTCATGTGATCTGCCCATCAAGACGCCTAGGAATTTCTTTGATATATTTTAGAAGGTTTACATGAGGACCTCAATAGAATTACTGAGACACCTAAACCAATCTTAACGGAGATTGACGAAAAATTGAGCGACAGCGGAAAAGCGTCCTGGCTGAGATATTTGAACATGAACAACCCTAAGATTGGTTGATTAATTAAAATCCACTATGAAGTGTCGACACTCATCGGTAACCTTGGATCCTTTCTGGGATTTGTCTTTACCCTTACCACATAGAATTGGCCAATTGAGTCTATCACAATGCTAGGATTTCTTCACAAGAGAAAAACTCTGGATCGAGATGGAAAACCAACATGTTCGAAGTGCAAGGAAAGAAGAAAATGCACAAAGTCTCTATCAACCCATAAGTTTTTCCCGTATTTTAGTAATTAATTAACAAAGATTCTGTCCAACGGAAAGATTCAGAGACAAATTGAATGTTGCCATTGACTTTTCTTTAGAAGGATTAGATATGAGCAATTATGCAGCATACAGTGTGGCTCCTTGTCGTTATAATCTATATGCACTTTCGAATCAGTGGGATTACTCACAACGGGCATTACACAGCATATTGAAGACACCCTTATAGTGGCACGTGGCATGAATACAACAATTCACACGTGTCCCTAATTTCACCAAAATCGCTTGTGAGTGGGGAGGCATATGTCCTCTTTTATGAACATGAGGGGACGAAGCATCACTTTTGAGGTGTTTTTTTTTTCTTTTTCTTTTTTTTAAACTAAATTCTCTTAATTTATTTGTATTTCATGATTCTTCGTCTCTAATTATTGTAAAAATATCGGAGAATTATTTTAACTAAAAAGAAAATAAAGAGATATTTTTATATTCTCTCAGATATGAAAGGTTAAATAAATTCAATAAAATTTCCAGTTTGTCAGGACTTCAGTACAAATTCGAATTTAACTTTCAAACAATCAAATCAATAATCAATAGAGAGGGTGATTATAAATCTAGATATATCCCTTATGTTGATTTTTCATTAAATATTTTTGTTTCAGGTGCTGACTAATCCAATAACCGTCAATCTCATAATGCTCTTTTGAAGAACTCGACTTATAATTTTTTTGAAAAATGTTATCAAGAAGCGCCCCGAAGAGAAAGAGTATTTATTGGGATTTCGCTCATTTCAATCTTTTCATTTCGTGAAATCGGCATCGAAATATTTGGGAAACATCTTCACATTTTGGAGGTAAGAGAAATTTGCATTTGGTTATTATTTGTAAACAAGGTAAATACGTATATCTTCTGATAAAATTCTTATGTCTGCCTTACTTTAGATCATATAAACATTATTGTCTGTGTGATGGAACTAATTGTCGCCCCCCTACGAACGACAACTCTCGGAAGTCGAGACTTCTGCGAGCTAAGGACTAACGAGGACTTACCTTTCAACGTGTGATTCCTAACACGGAATACTTGATGAAAATCCATAACGTATTCAAGAGACAGCTTATTGTGAGATTTTGATTATGCTAAGTAAGTCTACTAGCTTCACTAAGTTATTATGGACACGTCTATTTAACTTAGTATAGACACGTATATACTAAGTCAGTATAGATACGCCTGAAGAAGCTATTGTATAGCTTAACACGTGGTGCGTTTTTGTAAAACTGTTTAGTGAAAATTACCCAATAAACTGTTTCGTGAAACAGAAACATAGTGGTTTGTATCAATTACGAATTTCATTGATATGTTGATTCAAAGATTATTAATTTTGATAGATGATGTCAAATTTGGCATCAGATATGGACTGTTCCAAAATAATCAAGTTACTCAGGTTCTGAGATATTTTTTATGTCGTCTTCTGAATTTGTTTTCTAATGTGGACATTGGTAATTAGTTTTTTATATATCCATTTAATGTGTTGGTGAAATTTCTTTTGAGATATTTGAATTTTCGATTAGTTTTTACTTGAACTCAGGAAAAACCATAAGTCATTAAGTAGATAGAAGATCATTGATTCAAATTGTTGAAATATTCTCAAATCTAAAGAAATGAACTTTAAACGTTCAAGCCAGTCTCGAATATACCTACACAGTAGGACTGACGCCTATCAGAAAACAACTACTCCCCTGGCTAATACCACGAAGGGCGTTGGATTATATCTGACAGGCGTCAGTACAGGAATCTTCACAGAAAATTTCCTGCATATGCAATTGGCAATACAACTGAAAGAGTCGACCTTCAGTTTTGGATCGGTCACACTTGCAGACCGGTTACGGGCTCATTAGCTACTCATCAGTGCAAGATAGTGGCCATCATCCACCTAAAGTTAATGATATTCCCTAATTGAGAATCGGAATTCTTTCAAAGTATTTCATTCCTCTTCCTTTCCTAAGTTGGAGCGAACACAAAATGTCACTTCATCTAGTGCATTAACCAATTGCATATCCGAAATTTGCCCGATTACTCTGAATAAGGAAGAAAAACTCTCTTATTAGTCAGTGGGCTATGCTTGAAGACTGGCAGTAAACAAATCTAAAGAAATGAACTTTAAACGTTCAAGCAAGTCTCGAATATACTTACACAGTAGGTTGAATGGACTGACGCCTATCAGAAAACAACTACTACCCTGGCTAATACCATATTCTCAGTTATTAGATGCAATTTAGTCAGTATAAAAACGTTTGAGAAGCTAATGTATATGAAAACACGTGTTGCAGTTTTGTGAACTGTTCGGTGAGAGTCTAACATAAGGTAATTTGAATACGAAATCAAGTCATGAATCGTTCTAAAAAGAATTTTTAGCAGTTTTTTCAGGTAATCCGATTATTTGAAGGATACACTTTTGTTGTACTTCTCAATAATATTATATCTCATAACTGAACTACTAGTTCTATTCTAATAGACAGTTCATGGTATCAATTCATTGGTATCAATTCGTGGGTATGAAACCCCTTTAGTGTCAAAACTTAGAGCATTCATACCTATATATAATTACTTTTTATCTGTTCCTGTAAAATGTTGCAATACTATTCGAGTGCAATGTAAAAATAAAAAACTATTTTCGTTTCATAGAACTGATGTTTTATCAGCAGAATTATATAAAAATTGCATCTGAAGTATCCTCTTCACTGTACTATAAATATTATGGTTTTTATTATTAGAACACAATTTCAGTTCCGTCCAATATTTTAGTAGAAAGAACGAAGTAACATTGGCTGTATTTCATTCATATGAATGAAAAAATATTGCTGAAGAAAGGTTGGTTGGGTAACAGGATCAATTTTTTCATTCGAAACGTTGGCAAGAAAACAATTGTTTTTTTAAGAAAAGATTGACCCTTCCATCCTACCAACCTTCAGAAAAATTATTGGAGTACGAAACTAGTCCACTGAAAAAATATTTATTTGTGTTTTTTACGTTAACTGAAAGATTTGATAACCAAAATATTTATTTTACGTGTTTATTCGCGACATCACGTTAGAAACCTCTGAAATTATCAGTATTTCAGGAGGACAAAAATTAAAAGTGGAGAACAGAAAAAAGTTTCTGTGATGTGTTGTTTCAATCAGCTAATCATGCCTGATAATTAAATACTAATACTTCACCTTTTTAGATATTTTATTGCAATTCGTAGGACGTTGTGTCGGAATAGTATATAGGTGATTTGTGACAGGAGAACTAAACACTATTAGTTAGTCTGATGAAGCAGTTTGCCCAAATAAATAGTCAATAAATTTCGTTTCTACGTAGTTTCTATGGTGTCATTGTTAGAAATTGCAGCAACTTTCATAATATTAAAGACATGAAGCTGTTGTATTTCACCTACGTACGTTCGAAGATAAAATATGCAAGTGTCGTCTGGAGTCCATTCTATGAGATTCATAACATAGCCATTGGTAGAGTTCAAAGAAAGTTTTGTAAATTTCTAATTTTCAGAATAGCTGGTTCTTACCCTGAGAGAGGTATCAGTAATGATGTCATATATGAACCTTTGGAACTTTTTAGTTCAGAGCATGGCAAAAAATGTGCGATGCTCATATTTTTATTCAAGTTAATGAATGAGAGAGTTGACTGTCCTAAAATTTTTGAACAAATTAACTTCAATGCAACACGGTGCCCATGGTGATTTATCCTTCACTAACCTTCATAACATTACTAGAATTGCTAACGTGTACTTGAAGTAGGTAATTAGAATTAGTTTTTCTTTTTCGTTCATTTTATCCCCCGAAGCCCCGATACATTCGGGAGGGGCACCAGCATTATCAACCAATAACCACTCCACACACCGTCAAGCCAAGAATGACAGCCTTCTGCATCTGTGCGGCTAAGATTTCTGCCATAGTGCGGCAAGCCGGTATGATTTTAAGATTCGAGAGTGGAGAGGACATCATTCCACCAAGGACTCCAATAATCATAAAAACCATCTTGACAGAGAGATCTGGATAGAGTCTGTGGAGTTCGAAGAGAAAATCTCGATATTTTATCCGTTTTTCCGTTTTTATTATTATTCTTTTTTTCCACCGTAGTGTGCGCTGGTCAGGCCCTATCTCCCTAAGCCCCGATACATTCGGGAGGACGCACCAGCATTATCAACCAATAAGCACTCCCCACACCGTGGGATGAGTGATCATCGGGTCCGAGAATCATGTGCCCTGAGCAAGCGCAGTGAGTCAAGAATGACAGCCTTCGGCATCTATGCGGCTAATATTTCTGCCTTAGTGCGGCAAGCCGGTCTGATTTTAAGATTCGAGAATAGAGAGGACATCATTCCACCAAGGTCTCCAATAATCAGAACAACCATCTTGACAGAGTGATCTGTATAGAGCCTGCGGGGTTCGAAGAGAAAATCTCGATATTTTATCCGTTTTTCCTCCTCTTTTCTGACGATATTCGTCTCACCAGGAGCTGAAAACTCCACGACAAATATCGTTTTGCTCTGGTGGTCAAGAAGGACTATACCAGGCTTATTAGCTTGTATGAGCCTGAGGGTGGGGAACGAATATTTCCAATAAATTCGGCACTTCTCGTTCCCCACAACGGATTCAATATCCCCCGGAGCGTAGGGCAACACCGGTGTCTCGTCAA